ACGTTGGAAGCACTGTCTGACGCGTCTGCCTCCGCGACCCGAACGGAGAAGCGGCGATGGAAGATGAAGATGCCTCTCCTGCATTGAAAAGTTCATCGGAACTAAAATGTTGAAGCATTAAATTTATATAATTTACATGTATAAATAATATCTTAAGACTGTATATTTCGTTCGTACCTTGGCGGTTATTCCGAAAGCGGAAAATCTATGAACAACGAAGACAGTTTTATCATTGAAATGACTTACCAACTTTGAATTTTAATTGATTTCGTTTCATTTGTCGCTACATTCGTTCTAACGTTTTGCGCAGAAGTTGTGCAGCAATTGGCATAAAAGAGGTATGTTCTTCAACGTTTTATGTGTACTGGCTTAATCGAACAATGACACTGATGGAATAAGTCACTAACTAGGCATTAATTTCTCATTGATCCTTTAGTTTAACTTTACTTTACACTAGCCTGCCGCCTTCTGGTTATTTAAGGTGAAGGTAACGGCGAATTTTGACCGTAAAGTGCAAACATCAGGCAGCATGGCCATATATCTCGCTTGCTTTAGCAAGACCTCACTGAAGCATCATGACATCTCCACTATTCGTAGGCGAATGTTTTGCTACCTTTTTTACGGCTGTTTGCACAGAACCATCGGTAAATAGCCATACTCTGAAGAAGGCAGTAAAATGTGAAATACGATTCAAAACTTCGGTACCGGCTTATCATTCGAACGTCATCACATCGTCGTATATTTTACAAAAGAATTTTTGTGCTGCTTTTCTTTACTTTCGATGCCATGCACCGTTCTTTTTCCATGAGAGGAAAAATTTATATTTGCTTGATTTTGTGGAATGTTAGTAAATTTTATTTATATTTATGAAGCGTCAACTCGATTTTCTATCGATCGGGCAAGTTCCTCATGATAACACAGAGTTATCGTTGATGTTCAACAACTTCAGTCAGATTACACAAATTTGAGCAATTTATGATTTGTCGCAGTTTTAAAAATTGACCACTTAAAAGATGCAAGCTTTCGAAGCAAATTAATTAATACGACAAAACTGCTATTGGAAATACATGTATTGTACATAAAATTTAAACGCGCGGGGTTGATGGATTTCCAAGTACAGTACAACAAAAATTTGAGATACTGTAATTGCGCGTGTGTTCCTAGCTGTAGGTTGAGGTGAATCGTTGTGACTCTCGATGGTCATGGCGTTCAATCCTAATTTTGAGACCATAGGCCAGGCGTTCGTTAATCATTATTACGGCAAATTCGATGTGGCGGACGGAGCGACAAGGTCAGCGGGAATGGCAGTTCTTTATGACGTAAGACCCCTCGGTTGTTCAAGCCGGGATGAGTTTCGGTCGTCTCTGAACTGACGGGCATGTTTCGAGAGCAGCGCTGTTTCTAATTATGATTATAGGCTCAGGACTCATATCTAACGTTCGAAGGTGCGCAGATGAAAGGGAAAGACGCAATTCTCCTAAAATTCTCAGTAAAATTTATTCCTCTGTTTTCTACTTACGATTCGGTAATCCATTGCTTCATAGGAACTGCCATTCAAGAACATTTTGCGGGAAGTCACAAAAGTTGACTCGCAGCCGCTGGCTGATGGCAGTGTGCTGGTCACTGTGCTTGGTCGAATCAGGGTGCGACACTCTTCTATATTGTGTTTATGTTGTTAGTCTGAATTTTCTTTTTAAGTTAATGTTTTTTTGTTTTTGTGTTTATGAAATTAACGTATCTAGTGTAGGCTTACTAAGCTGTATTAAAGAACTGAACGTTTTATTGATATAGTTGTTCTTTATGAACTTTCACACTACTCGTACGTCATTCATGTTGAACTCCTGCCAAACAGGGTTTGTTCTTTACTTCTGTCAAGTTCGATCGGAGCTTCTATTATGCGTCTGCTTCCCGTTTTTCAAGTACTTTTGATTTTCTGTGTCAGAGGTTATAATTAGATACGTTTTACTTCCTCTGCCTTTTTGGTTTACTAGGAAAACTGCAGCGATGAATGCATTTTCTGAAGATCAAAAGTTTGAGGCAGTTTTTATGTGTCTAGAGTATAAGCTTTCCAAATTTACTGCGCATTGCAGACACGCTTAAAGGCGCGATAAAAGTGATTTCATAAGTAGTAAGCACTGACGGTAACCCTGAATTTTGTACAAATTTCTAATTATTGCCCTTATAGACCTCTAACTTAAAGGCATTAAGCCTTTTGTGATTCATTGATTACTACAACCTTCGTCCTTAAGTCGAGCCGTCCGTTTCTGTTTTCGAGACCGGTGTGTCAGACCCGTAGCAGTTTAAAATAATACGCTCCCACGCTTCATGCCTTTATGTATGGCGGTACCACGCTTACATAATTTCCCGTTTTCAAGGACCTATGCACGAGGTAGGAGTGATTCGGTGCCATTCGAACGGTGTATTATTTGGATAATCTGTTCATTACTGACTAATTCGTCGGTTGCAGTTGCAAATTGTGAAAAGATGTATAAACAACTTAGAACAAAACTTTCATGGCTGTCAATTTCTGCTTTGTAGATCCGAATATTGGCTAAAACTTTTCACTGAAGATCATTGCGGATTAAGAATTATTCTTTTTCAGATGACCTGCCTTTTGCCTTTCTCAAATGACCTGCCAGATTGTGGGCTTACGTACTTTCTGTAGCACTGCACCTCACTCGGCTATTAACAGATTCGGATCACCCTCTTCCAGATGGATCTGCAGAAAACCTGCTTGCATCTGGTGAATTAAAAGGGCAATATTATAATTTCGTGGTCTTATGATTCTCTGGCGTATATTTTCTCTGATGCGTTACGTTATTGCTAACGGTCGCTGAAAACAGCAAGTCACTAATGATAGTAGAAGTAAAATGATCGACTGGTTCTTTGACAAGGATTGGTTGTGGGATCCACTTACTACGCCAAAAAGCTAAACAGGGATGTTATATAATTGCGCCGGATAATAATGTACTTGCCACCTCTTACCTCATACCTTCATACATCATTAGCACAATCTTCATCAGTACCATTTATCACTGAATTAAGTTCTCGTCACACTTCGATGTAAGAAAAGCTGACTTGTATTTTCTGTTTTCATTAAATCTTTATATTAACAATTATGATTATTACATTATTTATTATTTTATTAAATCTTTAAGTGAAAGTACAGCCTGGAGATCAGAAAAGATCTTCATGGTGGACACGAGAGGTACAACTGGCAGTTAAAGAGAAGAAAG